AATTACCTACCATAGACCCATTAAATCACACAGACTAGGCCTCCTCTGAATTCCATCTGCCGGCCAATGCCGGCTTTCGGCCACCCGGAGGAGGGCCTTCTCTGTGGCTGCTCCGGCCCTTTGGAATAATCTCCCCATGGAGATTCGGACCCTCGCCACCCTTCAGGCCTTCCGTATAGCCGTTAAGTCCTGGCTGTCCCAGCAGGCCTGGGGGTCTTGAGTTCCACCCCTTCTCGAATTTGGTTGTGCTTGTTGTGTTTTTTAAATTGCTTTGTATTGTTGTCTTGTTTTTGTCTTACTTTTTGTATTTGTTCCCCTCCCCTTGGCTTTTGCTCAGCCGCCCTGAGTCCCTCTGGGAATAGGGCAGCCTACAAATCGAATAAATCCAAATCCAATCCAATTCTATTTCAAATTAAGAAAATAATTAGAAATATGGTCACATTGTTTTCCTCATCCTTGATTTTTCAAGTTCAAGTAGCATAAAAATGGACGACAAATTGCATTATGTAATTAACATAGCTGTATAGAAACATATTTAGCTGATTCAAGTTCACTGAATATGCTTTTATGCATGGTAGACATGTTCCAAAATGTTCACCTATCTGTAATCTGAAGTAGCATCATCTGGAATTCTATCACCTTGATTCACTTATAACTTCACTTATGGTAATATATAAAATTACTTTGAGACGCTAGTGATTTCTCAAGGATATTCAATAAATTGCAGATATGAAAAAGTGATTTAAATTTGAATTTTCCATAAAGAAAATCATACTAGTTTCTCTGTATCTTTATACTATAGGTACTACGCCTATTGTGGAATATTGGTTACAGTATTCCCACCATGCAAGTAATTCTCTAGATTAAAACTCTGAATTATATAAAATAGTGTAAGTATGTTTGGGGTAAAACTAGGCTTTAGTTAGGTTTATGGCTTAAGATCTTGATATTTACAAGACCATTTTTTATAAATAATTTCTGCCCATTCAGAACAGAATGCTTATTGAGAGGTACAGCAAGAGGTATGCCCTCTTCTGTGCTCCTAGATCAGAGGTGCCAAACAAAAGGCCCAGGGGCCGGATCCTGCCTAGTGCTTAGATCTGGCCTGTGGCACTGCCCTGGAAACAACGGACCAGCCTGTGGTGTGTCTGCCACTTAAAATGTAGCCCGGCAGAGGGTTGCCGAAGGCCGTGGCAATGTAAAATGAAGCTCGGGAACCCATTTTCACTAACAGAGCACTCAGGCCATGACAGGCACCTCTAAACATGAGTGATATTGAGCTGGCCACACCCACCCTAGCCACACCCACCCCAGGCCCCTGATGTCAAACAGAACCCTGATGTGGCCCTCAATGAAATCAAGTTTTACATTCCTGACCTAGATGAAGGCAAGTTTATTCTCATGGCTTTTGAAGCTTGTTAAAATGTAGCTTTTCTTGATGGTTTTTGAAAATTAAATATTACTGGAGTCATTGGCACCAGGCAGATAAATATAGTATGGATTATATTTTATTTTTAGTGTATGTCATTAATTTTTATTCTTATTCTTTTTATTCTTCCTTCAAAACATCTTTTTCTGTTGTACAAGTCTTCAGAGTGTTAACAGGAATCTAACATATTTTTTTTGCCACAGTGCTAATTAAATTGCTAGGTCAGTAGTCTAAAGGCAATAGTCTATCACCTTTTTAAAAGACTGAGACAATGATGCTGCTGTACCATTCATCAGGGATAAGTCCGGAATGACGAATATGAATAAAATAATGTTACAATACAGAGGCTCACCAGGTCAGCTTATCCTTCAACATTTCACCACATAGCAGATCTTTGCCTGCTGTTCTTATGGAGGCAAATATTTAACAATACTCTTTTTCTGATTCCGTTATCCTTTTGGGTACATTTCTTAGGTCATTGCTATGTTGTTGTTTTTTAACTTGTGCTCTTATTTTGTGCACCACTTAAACCCTTTCAGGTTTGTAGCAGTACATATATGCTAAAAAATAATAAATACTAACCAAAAATTCAAAAATTACTTTTATTCTAGTCTTAAACCATTAGTATTGAAGGCTGAAACTGGCATGATTAAAAATAGAGCACCAACACAATTGGATTGTTTTCCTACCTTACCAGAAGTAGATAGGAAAGTAGGAAAATAGAAGTAGGAATCGGCTGGTGATAGCTGCGTCTAACCTTCTAATGAATGGTAGTACAATAATGGAATGGGATCAGATTTTGGAGAAAAACTGGACATCCTGACTGAATGTGATCCAGACGGAAAAATTACTTTTTTTGGTAACATAAATGAATAGATGGCAATAATATAAGAGTAAAAAGAAAAAGACTTCATCATATGAAAGTTCAAGAATGTTTAAACGACAGTTTTGTATGATGAGTATTTGCTTATTTTTACACATAGTTTAAGCCTGTGTCTATCTGTGTAGGCATGGTGGCTCAGTGGCTAAGGCGCTGAACTTGTTGATCAGAAAGGTCGACAGTTCAGCAGTTCGAATCCCTAGTGCCGTGTAACGGAGTCAGCTCCTATTACTTGTCCCAGCTTCTGTCAACCTAACAGTTCGAAAGCACATAAAAAATGCAAGTAGAAAAATAGGAACCACCTTTGCTGGGAAGGTAACAGCGTTCTGTGTCCTTTGGCATTTAGTCATGCCGAACCACATGACCACAGAGACGTTTTTGGACAGCGCTGGCTCTTCAGCTTTGAAACAGAGATGAGCACCACCCCCNCGAATTTTCCAGCCATTCTTAAAGCAAATTTAACATTTAATAGCTCATTCAATTCAGTTTTTTATGGGCTTTAAAATGAGGTGTCGCGGAAGTTGTAAACTGCTGTTTATCTTGCTGTGACCCCCTAGGAAAAGGTTATGCCCCGCCCTGTACATACAGTATATACATACATACAGAGAGAGACAGACAGACAGAGACAGACAGAGACAGAGAAGGACCACCATACCCAGTATTTGCAGCCAACTTTTTCAGCTTTTAAAGAATTGTTTTGTTAAGATGATGATATGTGGGTGCTGCAAACCATAGTTTTGTGCATTTCATAGATAGCCTACTGCATACTTTTGTTATTCATGGGTTTTCATTATTTTGCTGCTATGGAAAGTTCTGTTTTATGGTTGGAAAGTTCATGACACAAGTAAAAAGTAAAAAATAAAATAGAAGCTTTCTGTTTGTAGATGATTCAATTGAATCATCGTTTCAACTGGGAGATTGTGAGCTTCCTAGACCAAGTTAAATTCTAAAATGCTAAGGAATTCCCGGAAGCTTGGCATAATCAGTCACCAATAGACCCATAGAGGTAAACCAATTTACCCACAATTCAAGAGAATTTTTTTAAAAAAAGCTAGAAGGAAACAAAAAGACTAGTACACATCCTTTCCAGCAGCCACCACCCAGATAAACGGATTAATAGCAGACAAAAAATCAAGCAGTCAACAATACTCTAATTAAGGAAAAAACAAGAAGACAACATTACCACCAACATGGCAGGGCAAGCTACTGTATACAGGGAGCAAAGCACACACTCACTGGCACTATTGATCTTACCTAGTGAGGTAATAAAATGCATGCACACAAATAACAAAGCTCAGAGAGTTAAACTGAGCTACCTATATTCTTTTTATTTATTACTAATAAATAATACATACTAGTTATAATTGTGGCCTTGCTATGTGTGTAAGTTTTCTGTATATTAAAATGCTGCCATAAATAAGTACTTGGCTTGACTTTGAGGTAATAGAGCAGTGAATCATAATCTTCTTTTAATTGGTTTTAGGTACATAATTCTCAACAAATGTTTAATCACATTCAGAAACATCATTTTAGTGCTATCCAGTGGCATTTTGACTCCCCCCCTCTCTCTATCTCTCTCTATCTCTCTATCCCTCTATCTCCATTCTTTATTTTATAATTATATCATAATTATATTAATTTTTATTTATATCTTTTTTCCTCTGTTTTGCAGAGTGTTTAGGGGTTGGAGATAGAATATAAATCTCCAATTAAAGTATTGCTTGAAGGTTTCACCATCCGGTATTTTAATTCTTTTGAAAATGGGTCCTATAGAGTCACTCTTAAAAAACATTTGCAGACGGTCACTTTATTAATTAAATAGTTAGTGATAATATACATTTCATGTGTCTCAAGCAGACACAAAAACCTTATCAGTTGTTATGTACTGAATTATAATTTTATGTAATTTTTCAGTCACAAAGATAGCATTTTTACTTCTAAAAAAGCTTTTAAATTATTTTAAAATAAATCTCACAAAATAATTAAACGGCTGAATCTCACAAGTTTGCACACAGAGCACAGAACAATTGTGAGAATTTGACCATTAAAAAACCAAACCTAGTCAGTTGGTAGTTTGTGTCAGTATTCACCATCTCTAACTTGTGCATATAATACTCAAAGCTTTAAAATTTTAAGGATATAAATGACATTTTACATTACAGTTGACTTATTTTTTAATTAAAATATGAACATTTAATTTTATAGGCTTGTCGATATGGACATGTCCATCATTTAGAACATTTTCTGTTTTATGGAGCAGATATGGGAGCTCAGAATGCATCTGGAAACACAGCATTGCATATCTGTGCACTTTACAATCAGGTTAGTTATTACAGCTTTGCTTTTGAGAAATCTTTTATGAATAAATAAATATAAAAATAAAGAAATATTCTGTTATGCATGGGTACTATGGTTTTCGTTTATACGGGAATGAAAATTTAAGTTACTATTTCCATACATAATGCTTAGTTTTTTCAATCAAGCAATTACAGGTAGTCCTCAACTTACAACCACAATTAAGCCCAAAATTTATGTGGCTAAGTGAGATAATTGTTAAATGATAGTTGTGTACCCCATTTTATGAACTTTGTTACCAAAATTGTTAAGTGGATCACTTCAGTTGTTACATTAGTAACGTGACTGCTAAGTGAATCTGTCTTTCCCATTGACTTTGCTTGTCAGTAGATCACAAAAGGTGATCACATGACTCAAGGACACTTGAATTTTCAGTTGAATTTTGATCACGTGACTGCGGGGATGCTGCAACAGTTGTGTAAAAAATGGCCATAAGTTAATTTTTCAGTGTTCTAATGTCACTAAACATACTATTTTAAGTTGAGGACTACCTGTGGTTGCTCCTGCTAATGTATATAATTCACTGTGTACATAACAATAAGCATGAGTCAATGTTTTGTGTATGGATATAGAAACTTACTATGATCTAGTTGAACTACTGCCTATTCTGGAAAATTTCCAAATAGACAACTATTATATTATCTCTTGCAGTAGATCCATGTGATCAGAAAATAAATGAGGTGTTCACATATTTTTCAGAATATTCCATATCTGTAATGCTGTTTTGGGGGATATATTGGGGGATTTTTAGGCAGGATGTTTGAACACCTGTAGCAACTGGTGACAACATGATTCACATGTAATGTTGGTCCCTTTGCTTGATTTTTTCTTAAGTTAATGTGTGGTTAATTTAAATTACAATTTTGAAAAAAAATTGGCTTTGAATTATATTACACCCAGTTGGTGTAATAATGTTTGGATGTCAGTAAGTAGTAAAAGGATTCCTACAGAGTTTTAGAACTAAAACTATCTGAGGGCACGGGTGTCAAACTCGTGGTGTCACGTTTCACAATGGTTTTTCCCTTTGTGGAGCTGGGGTGGTGTGTCCTACTTGTGACGCATCTGACCCATGGGCTGCCAGTTTGACACACCGCCTTAGAGACTTAACTGTCAAAAACTTTAAAATATATGCATAATGCATCTATTTGGGATGTCTTCAGTATATTTTATTCTTTGGAATAGTTACAGGTGTTTGGATATTCCTTCATTTACTGTAGCAAGATCAAATTAGAGCAGCAGTTAATGATTTTATGGCTAGTTAACAATTCTGCATCTTCTTGTTAGATGTCAGAAAGAGAGTAGTGAAGATATGAAGCTATGATTTGAGTGCTGAAAAACAGTAAGAGAAATAATGAAATAATAACTGAGAAGTTTAATGGTTTAACGTGGCTAGATTTTTTTCATACAAACAGCTGGAGATTTTACGAGAAGAAGCAGATGTTAATTATTTGCCCTGGTCAATTTACCCATCAAAAGGAAGAAATGTATTAATTAGTGAATATATAATCATATTTGCATAAATACACAGTCTGAATATAAGAAATAACACATTTTTATGCTATGTATATGCCTGTTTTTATGTTATGCATAAATGATATCTTCCTGCATCCCACAAATTATATCAGTTTGTAAAACAACAGGTTTTGCATTTATGACAAAAAACATTTTAGTATTTGATCAATCCCCAAAACTTTAACATTATAGTGTTGGGTTTCTAAGGCTGCTCTGTGTTAGAAATGCCCAACTAATGAGGTCTGTTGCAACATCTGTTAAAACATCTGTTTTACTGCTCAATTGTGAAAACCTTGTCAAAGCAAATATTTCCTTTTCCTTCCTATGATAAGATGCCTGTTCATTTAAAAAAGTATTAGTAGTTGGAGATAAGTTTATTAGTATGATTAGAGAAAAATGCAAAAGGACACACATCATGGGTAATAAAGTAATACAACGAACAAAGCATTCTCTGCTTTAGTCCTACATTTGAGGATAGAAGTTGGAAGATATATTATATTTCATTTTAATGTATGCCGATTAGAATACATTCTGTTCTGACCTAGGTTTCCTGATACAGTAAAAAGCACACACTTAGTCCCCAAAATCCTCTTTTTATTTCAAACATTGTGAATTATGTTCATTCACATCCTGTAATGAGTCACAAATAGTTTGTAAAGAGTCTAACAGTAGTCTGCCAAAGTCTTTCGGAATAAGGCTGATAACCACCCACCTTTATCTTCCTTGAAACGCTGCCAAAGACTTAATTGGCAATTAGCTTGCAAGGTCACACGGAGCCAAGAGTCAAAACGGAGCTTCAGAATTTAAACCAACCAGAATGAACAAAGTTGCTTCCTGCTAAGGCTCATTTGCCTTTGCTCCTCATTTATGTCCTATGGGAGGGGCCAATCACCTCCAAATTCCTGAGTTGTCCCTTTTGTCTTAACTGTTCTTGCCTTCTGGTAAGTCTCCCCCTGTTCCCCTGCCTCGTTGATGTCCAACTCTGGAGGCTCCTGAGACAGCACATAACTCCCAGATGGCCTTGGCCCCTCTCTGCCTCTGACGCAGAGCTCTCATCCGAGCTTTCCCTAGACTCCAGGACTGGCCCATTCTCCTCTCACTGTTTCTGCTGCCAGGTCTGCAAAGTGACCAAGTTATTCTAAGTCTGTCTAATTTAATTTTTACTATATTATCCATCCTCAAATATGGGTTTAGGACAACTCATGGGGTGAGTCACTAATGTGGTAGTGGAGCATTTGGTTGGTTTGGGTAGTTTATCTAGTTTATTTAGTATAAACTGTATGGCTTTATTGCGCAAGATTTTAAAAGTGATTTTCCATTGCCTCCTTCCAAGGTTTGAGAAAGCGTGACTGGCCCAAGTCATCTGGATGGTTTGATGCTCCAGGCATGACTAGAACAATGTTTGATTTAACATTTTACAATAATTCCTTAAGGCTATCAAAAGAACACTTTGAAAACCTGAAGCAAGCAATTATATAAATACCATCAACAAACTCTCCATCCAGCCAGTGCTCTCCAGATGTTTCAGCCTCCCTTATTGGCTATACTGGCTGAAATTGGTGGGCTTTAAAAATCAACACTTCTGTGGATAAGCAGGGAGGCTGGCTCTGTATTACATTCTTGTTCAGTTGTTTCAAACTTAAACTACTTCCAAAATGAATAGGCTGGCCCACATCACCCCCTCTACAGATAGAAAAAGAATTGTGAAAGAAGTTCAGAAAAGGATAGTAACACTGTCAGTCTCTAACTCAGCCTGAGACAAAATCATTTTCTGTGGTCCAAAATGGAGTAGCTTTGATCCATGTTGATTTAGGAGTATATATGTGTATGTATGCACTGTCCTGCATGTTTCTCGTTTTTGGGATGTGTATTTTGGATTGAGTTTAGTGGAAACAGTTCTTACAATAACAAACAGTGGCTTAGCCTCAGTTAGCTCTTACTGTAAACACAGCAATAGAATGCCTTTTTCTGAAAGCCTAGTTCCTATCTAGGAGGGATTAAGATTATTAACAATTTGAATAAGCCTATGCCTTCAGATGATTGCTTATTATTATGCATATAGAAACAAAAATTGTAACAATCTACTTATTTACAGGACAGCTGTGCAAGAGTATTGTTGTTACGGGGTGCAAACAAGGAATTGAAGAATTATAATAATCAGTCACCATTTCAGGTAAGAATAACTAAAGAAAACAATATTCTTTGGTGTATATTGTAGTTTAAATGGCAAATGGATATCCTTTATATTTAGTGCATTGTGTAAAAAGTATTGATGTGAAATGAAAGTACTATATAGAGCTGTTCGGTGACCTTAGAAGTGGATTTCTTGACTCACAATCAGGAGGCTGTGAGTTAGATCTTTGGTAGCTGCAGATATTTCTTTCTCTGGGCAAAATGAGTAATTGTCTGCTGCGAACTCCATTTAGGGGTCAGGAGGGGCATCCGGCCAATAAATGCTCAGCTCCATTTAATCGCCATGACTCCACCCTGATGCAAGGGATTTCAGGGTTTTTTAAAAAAAGAACTCTACACTAATTTTTGTATACAGTATGTCTGTATTACTCTTTGTGAAGATCGGGTTGTTTAGAGGATGTATTTCTTAAACATACAGTAATTTTGTGATAAATGGAAGGCTAAAATACATAAAATGCTGGTTTAAGTAGAATTTTGATGTGTCCCATTTTGTTACTAACATAGAGATCAAGTTCCAATCCAGTTTCAGGCCTGGCTACAGCATGGAAACTGCTTTGGTCGCACTGGCAGATGATCTTTGGAGAGCCAGAGACGGGGGCCGCGCCTCTGTTCTGGTGCTCCTTGACCTCTCAGCGGCTTTCGATACCATCGACCATGGTATCCTTCTGCGGCGGTTGCGAGAGGTGGGGGTGGGAGGCACTGTTCTTCGGTGGTTCTCCTCCTACCTCTCGGACAGGTCGCAATCGGTGTAGGTCGGAGGGCAGAGGTCGACTCCTAGGCCCCTCAATTATGGGGTGCTGCAGGGGTCGGTATCTTCCTGTCCCCCCCCCCTGTTCAACATCTACATGAAGCTGCTGGGAGAGATCATCCGACAGCACGGGATAAAATACCACAAGTTCCAATCCAGTTTCAGGCCTGGCTACAGCATGGAAACTGCTTTGGTCGACCATCTGGAGGAGAGCCTTCTCTGTGGCTGCTCCGGCCCTTTGGAACGATCTCCCCGTGGAGATTCGGACCCTC